CGTGGTTCTAACTCGTCCCAACCTGCAATTCGAAAGGCTCGACGCCGCGCAGGACGCGTCCGATCGGCGATGAAGCGCAGTTTGTTGCGTAAGAAGTTTTGAACCCATGAGAAAGCGTGCATGCAGCAGATTTCGGTGCAGCGCCACCAGACCCCGAGTCTAACGTAGGGGAATCTACCTCGACACCCTGCCCGATCTCGAGAGCGGCTGTTAATGATTATTTACAGGGTGTGAACATCCCTCGACATAATTTTGATTTTGATGGTGAGGCTGGTGCTACTTTTCGGCGCTTGATGCCCGATCTTCCACCAGCCTCGGTGGATGTGGATTCTCTTTCTGCAAATTTTTCGTCGGAGGAAGTGGAGGCTGCCGTGAATCGTTCGAATGCACATTCCAGTCGGGGGATCGATGGAATAGGCCATGACATTTTCAAGACCGTTCTTTCCGAATTGCTGCCAGTTCTTCATGCGACTTTTGATGCTTGTTGGAAGCATGGAAGGGTAACCGCGGTGTGGAAAGTCGGTTCTATACAACTGATATTCAAGAATGGTGACCCACACGACCCAAGCAACTGGCGACCTATCTGCCTTCAAGCGTGTATTTACAAATTATACTCGGACTTGCTTGCTCGAAGACTCACACATTAGATGGAAGCGAATGGTCGTTTGACGGGTGCGCAAAAAGGGTTCCGACGCATGAATGGTACTGCTGAACACAATTTATTGAGCACGGCGGTGATCGATCAGGTCAAGAGACGTCCCAGACCACTTCATATGGTCTGGTATGATATCAAGAATGCTTTTGGATCTGTTCACCATGAATTGATTTGGCGTGTGCTGCTGGCTACTGGTGCGACTTCTTCTTTTGTTTCTCGGCTCAAGAACATCTACGAGGGGGCTGTTTTCACAGTTGCCAACACTGCCGATGGCGCGACCGACCCAATACAGCTTCGAATGGGAGTTTCCCAGGGCTGCCCGCTCTCTCCTTACCTGTTTTTGATCGGGATTGTGCCGCTCGTGCGTGCTCTACAGGCACTCGCCCCGGATTTGGGAGTGCCTGTTACTTCCAGTCGCAATGTGTCGGTTACCGCCTATGCCGATGACCTGAAGACTTTTAGCTCGTCGTCCCAAGGTATTAAGAAAGCTCACTCGGTGGTTGTGAAGTTTCTTCAGTGGTCTACTCTGCAAGCCAACGCCCGTAAATGCGCGTCGCTTTCAATAAAGACGGACTCTCATGGTCATCTGCGTGGAGACTCAGTGGAACTTACACTGGATGGTGACGTCATCCCTTCTCTGTCTATTGCGGAAGGGTATACGTACCTGGGTATAGGTGATGGATTTAAACACGCACAGCACCGCGGATCGATGAGGCCTGTTGTACAAGAAATGAAACGCATGATGTCCGCTATTTTTCGCTCCTCGCTCGCACCGTGGCAGAAGATGAAGGCACTCAAGACATCTGTTTATCCCAAGGCGGACTATTTGCTTCGACACGTTCGAGCATACAAGACACAGCTGGACAGTGTGGACTCAGCACTGGCACGTGGCTTACGTCATCTTCTGAAGCTCAACCAGTCCAGCACGACTGCCATGTTTTACGCTTCAGTTGCCGCCGGTGGTTTAGGTTTTACCCCGCTTGTCGACCTTCGAGATGTGCTACAGATCAGTCATGCATGGCAGATGCTGCACTCATTGGACCTGCTGATTCGTGAGATTGCTCAAGAACAAGTGTGGCAGGCAATCCAGAAGCGATTCATCATGGACCCGGACCATTGGCGTGGACGTATACATACTGCCATCCAGCTCTTTTTTAATGTTGATCTCGATTCTTCACCATTTGCCCGCCAGAAGCTCAAGTCTGTAGATATTAGGTCGTTGTGGGTGGACGTCAAGAACCATATGGCTGCCTGTAAATTGAAGCTGACGACCGAATCGGTGATGAAGGAAGATGGGACTGAGACGGACACGATGTTACAGCTCAAGTTACCGCATCGCTTGCAGCCACTACAACAGAACGACATCACGCCGCAGCTTCGTCAACACTTCAAATTGACGGCGCTTGAGCGATGGAAAGGCTTGAGGGTCCAGAGTACGGTTGTGCGGGCTATCGGTGGAACTGGCAGCTGTTTTCTTTCTCGTGGTGGTGGGATGAGCGACGCGGAATTCCGTTTTGCTTTACAGGCTCGAGTTGATGTGGTGCCTACTCGCTCAGTTCTTTGACGTTGGAATGAGCGTGTCGGTGCGACCTGTCGTCTCCCCAGTTTCCATCACGCCGAGACGCTCCCGCATGTTCTTCAACACTGTCCGGGCAATTCCCGTGCCATTGATGGTCGCCACGACCGTGTGTTAGCGATGATTAAGAAAGAAGTGGAGTCTATTATTTCCAAGACCTCCGACCGCTTGAAGGCTCGTTTCGACACATATGTGGAGGGTCTACCGGGACGTCAATTGCGGCCCGATATCCAGATTGTTGACGCGGTTTCCAAGACGGCTCACATTTGTGACCTATCCATTGCGTTTGAAGCTCAGAAGACGGACGATCCCGCTGAAGGTAACATGCATATTCGCCATGCTGAGAAAGTGATGAAGTAACAGCGTGCAAAGATGTTTAGGAGACGATAGGATGGCGAGTGCAAGTTTCGGATTGGATTCAAGGATAATTGCAATCGGTGCTGCCCTCCAACTATAAGATCTTGACGGAGCAGTTACGAATCACCAAGAGAAAGGCAAACCAGCTGAATCGCCGGATTCCGATGCATTGTTTTCAGGCAAGCTACAAGATATGGAGGGTGCATTTAGGCGGGATTAATCCTGGTGATACGTCAAGAAACTCAAGCCCGACGGTTCCCAGGACTCCCGACCCACCCTCAAGACCGGTGACGCCCAATAACCCTGTATCATCTACAGTGGGGACCCCAACTTCAACTGGACAACCACGTCGCGCCTCTACGCGCTTGGGTCCACCTCGAGCTTCGAACTCATCAGCTCCAGTATCGACACGCCGGACCAGCACACGGTGGGAGCCACGTCGGGATCGTGTTGCTTCGTCTACAGCTCCAGAAGTCCATCCCCAATCACGACAGCAACCAAGACCCCAAAACTCGACTCCGACTTCACGATCTTCTGGACGGCCACGTCCAAGTTCGGCTCAAGAGCACAAAAGATCTTCACGCCAGCATCGCCGAGGATATTCTTAGATACGTCGCGATGGTGCCACTGCCACCAGGAACTAGTGGTTCATGGACCTGTTTCGGTCCTCCCGGCACTCTCCAGCAAAGATACCGCCGTTCCAATTCCAATGTAGCCATATAGCACATAGGTGTAGCACTACATTTGGACGTTTTCCGTCCTGTCTACCCACCGCTTGCGGCTTTTGCTTCCCACGGGTGACTACTAATTGGCACATAATACACGTATTAAAACGAGAGCGTCGACATGAGCCGGAGCAGGCCCGTTACACTCCGGTGCTGTAAGGATTCAGGAATGCTCTTTTGAGTAATGCCACAGTATGGTTTTTGTCAGCGGGGGTGAGCGCGTGCGCCGCCCACACATCAACATCAAACAATGCACACGCTTGATATAGACCTATTCTCCGTGTTCTTTTATTCTACTCCGTGTCTGCTGCTACGTCTGCTGCTGCGCGTCATGAACATCTTATCGCTGTTCGCGCGTGCCGAGCCATGTATAGCGGGTTGCTGCCTTCGGCGTTGCCGGTGAGAAGCACGCCTTCGAACGAGGTGACGACGTGGGACGAAGATGCCGTGAGCGTTGCGAGCGCCTTCTTCAGCGTCGTTGGCGATGTCGACGACAATGCGCAAAGGACGATGATGTTGATGGCGCTGCTGATGACGACGACAACCCCGCTGCTGACGCCGCCATTGCCACCGCTACCGACGAGGGCGATGTTTGTGTCGGGGCCACCGGGTCGGCAAATCTAGCATTTGGTGCCGACTTGGACTGGATGTGCACGGTGGGTAGCACCGACCTTCCCGCTGGTGCCAGTCTGTGGTATCCGATGCACAGCGATGGGATGGTAATGACGCTGATCGAGTTGATACCGTCGACGACGAGGCTGTTCAAGCTACTAACGAAAAAGGCTATCAAGATGGTGACGATACACAGATTGAGGATGCTATCAACGAAGATGGTGCTGGAAACTGCCTCGATTATAACGTGTCGATTTTCGACACGACGCCTCTCGTCCCGGCCATCGACGACTGTTCCAGTTTCGAAACTCCTGCGTGCGCGTCCTACCTTCCCGTCCTCGATGCGCTACCAGGACTCGTCACATTAAACACCGACAACGACCACGAATCTCAAGCTTCAGATGTATCTTACGGCCCCTTTCGAGACTACTTTTCTGCCGCTCGCGCTGCTGCAAGCACCCGTCTCGCACTTGTGACCGGTTTGACAAGCGAGCCTCCAGGCTCATGTCAACCGGTTGACACTACCGTCGCTGCCCTGTCTCTCGCTTCGGACGCCTTCGCTTCCCCGTCAATGGCAACGTTATCAGTGTTTGCCCACAATGCGGCGGTGTTCAGGTGCATTGCCTGCAACTTTGCAACACCGCAGCTCGCCGATATGCGTGCACATGGAAACCGGCGGCGCCGCGGGACCTTGTTCACGGATGTTTTCCCAGTGGGTGCGCCTGTGCCATGTCGTTTGCCCAACGGGCAGCGGCTACTAGGCACACCCTCTACTGTGGGACAGCCTCGTAAGCAATTTACGCTACACATTCGACGCCGAAATTGCAAAAGGAGACCACATCAGATTTCCCAGCGGCTGCAGGAGAGTCCACGGTAACACGCCGTGACCATCCTGCAGACTCCGCTAGTCCAACCACTAGTTCTTTTAGGCCGAGAATGACTGCTCTTCTCGTCTTCTTGTGTCAGCTTCCTACGCAGGACCTAAAATCCTGTTACGGGACAAGAACAACCCGTACTCAGCTTACACTATGTTTGACGCTTTGAGGAAGCTCAAAGCTTAAGTCTCGGGTGTTTAGTATTTTAAATTCTGTTTTATATCTTGTCTTTTATCCATTCTAAGTACGAATGGTTCCCTTGGACTCATGGGAACCACTCAATCTAGTGCCTATATCTTGCTGGCTAATAATGGTACTGAGCCCATGAAACCAGCTAAAATATACGACGTGCCACTTTCGCTACTTCGAAAGTAACACCCCTACTTGAGTAACATGTAAACTTAATCGAAACTACTTATGGAACGTGGTGGCTTATTACATCACCCCTTCTCAAGACAGCACTCACGAACTGTGAGTGCTCAACAACATGACTTTACGAACGCACAAAGCATATGATGACTGAACAAGCAAACGATAACACCACATCACTCCTGCGCACTGTCATCGAAAGGTCGATAGACCACGTAATGGATTAGCACTTGATCCCTTGAGCGCTGTATGACTTGTCCGGAGCTCGATCTCCGGACTCTCTTTAAACGATGCAGGTTACTTCCGGCATTTTTGTGGATTACGCGGGAAGAGTATTGATGGCATCTCATACGAGTCACTCCAGCGTTCTTGGTGCGCGTTCATCCGTCGATGGAACCGGATGCTTGAAGATAGAAGATAATTTTAGCAGTGGCTTGCTAACCGCGAGGATATACACGCCGATCACTCAATCGGTGTGCTGCGCGAGAAGGTATGCGAGAAAGCGTGGAACGTAGATCGACTCTGCTACATTTACATGCACGAATCTTGTGACCCTTGTGACTCGATGCATCGTCCAACTAGCAAAACTTGGCAACGACACGTAGCTGAGTGTCAACTTAGCAAATATGAGCAGCTCTGGATCAGACGGTATGAGCGCAGCTTGATAGAGCGTAAGAACGCGACAATCGTGGCGCATCACGCTGGAGACACTGCTCACGTTCTCGAGGTCGTGGTGCCACGCGCTTGCCACGACGTTCCCATTCGCGTGGTCGTGGCGATACATGTTCAACTCGACGCTCTCGTCGCCGCTCTTCATCTCGTTATCGTGATGACGTTTCACCACGACGTTCTCGCGATAGCTCTTGGTCTCCTAGTTGTGGGGACGCTTCACCACGACACAGTCGTCGTTCGTCTCGTTCTCGATCACCGCGAGAACAATCAGGTCGCCGACCTAATCTAAACCAAGAATATGCACGGACTCGTGTGCCCGAACAACGTCCGGAACGTCTCGAAGAAGCCAAGAGCGATTCCCACGTATCCTTCTCGGGCAAAAAAACGAGCCAACCTACACGATACTTGCGCTCGGTAGGAACCGCGCGCTCATAAAGTCGCGACGAGGGTCCTCGTGACCTAATAAACGCTCCTCGATTCAACGCTTCTACCCTTCCTCGTCCACAAGAGATGGTGGAACCTCGCGATTGTACTGCTGGCGTCTTGGTTGCCAAGGACGATATAGATGCGGCTGTGAACAAGGCTGTCGATGCCCAGCTGGAAGCTGAAGCTGCCCTTGATCGAGCTGCGCGGGCTGAGATCAGCGAGCGAGATTCGACAGTCGAACCGCGAGCTGCTTCAACGAATACGGAACCTGGAACGCCAGGTTCTTGGGCTCGCGCAGACTCGGATGCAGCCGCTTCCGATGTCGCTGGCACATGGAACAAGGCGAGAGGGAAGGTCGACCTATAAGCCTGTAATTCCGAGGACGGAGCCACACGTGAAGCGTAGCTGGACGGTACTCCTAAAGCCGCCAGACGTTAAGCGTCGGGTAAAGCCGCAGTCGCAAAGGGATGTCCAGCGTGTATGCGTCGCCGATCACCTTGAGTATCGTGAATGTGCCAATAATACGTGGCGCGAATTTGCTCGCGCCGATAGTTGTTACTTCTGAATCTCGTAGGCCTTCAGTATATAACAATACACGATCATTCTTCTTGAAAGTACTTGTGTTCTTTCTGCCACGTTTGTCTGCATTCTTTTTCTTTTTATCCAGTGCAGATTGAAGAGTATCGCGTCCAAACCTCGTAATGGCTTGACGTTGGAGTATAAACTCTGACAAAGCCATGCTATTTATTAGTCACGCCGATTCGATCAGCGCGTATTTGGCTCGAGGACTTCGCATACCCGAAGAAGGGTCATTTCGCGTCTGTGCAGACCATTAGGCTCGCGGGGACGCCACGTCAAGTGGCGTCAAAACAGAAGGCTTCACCTTGGAATGGGTAACAACATTCGCGCTTATAATTTCGTGAGCTGCACCCGTTGGTTTTTACCACTATTATTACTCGCCATTTTGGAGCCACGAAGAGCCGTGGGTTGACCCACGGCAAGAAGAGTAGGTACACAAGGATGATGGGCCGAATTTGTAAAAAATGGCGTTAATCCCGTTTACGCGTGAATCGCGGTGTTGCGTGCAAACTCTGCGCGTGGCAAAAATGCACTTCAACTCGTAAAGGAAGCTGCGTAACTCTATGATAATCGTCGAGGACCCGATTAACCCTCTCTTCTTGCCCATCCGTTTCTAGATGGGTTGCTGTCGACATTTGCAGCTTCGTGCTAAGAAACTTAAACAATGACGTCCACAAAGCAGATGTGAAACGAGGATCACGGTATGGGACAATGTTGTCTGGTAGACCGTGGTGGCGAAACACAG